CAGATACGCGTTCGTGATAGGCAACTCCGTGTATGTGCGTGATTGACCTCTTTGCTAAACATCACAACATATCGTTATGTTATTTCTAATATTGATTGTTACGTATGTTTTCAGTTCAGTTTTGTCCCATGAGTAATACACGCTTAGGTGATCATGTATCTTTCAACACATTTCTGACGAGGCACATTTTTTGCCGCAGTAGACTAGTTGCCATCCAGTTCTATAGAACCCGGTTTGTTCTACTGCTTACCCATAACTGGGAGAGGGGGAGAAGCAGATTCATACCTTTTCGAAGTTTATTATCACGGATGTGACTGCAATGGATTCTACTGGAATTCGACCTCGGATCTCCGATTCCTTTATCTGAGCCACTATCCATTACTCCACTGTCTTTAATCAGTATTTAGGAAATCCTTGCCCCTCCATTTAACATATCCGAGACATTATCCATTACACCCCTCCCGCATCCAAGTTTGTCCATCATTCAACCTCTCTCCCACAGGCAGGATGTGGAAAGCTGCTTGATTTTCTACTACTACTTTCACAGACAGTGCTCAGAAGAACTGCATTCCCTGATCCTACCCAGGTCTTGACATGCCATTTACATAGTAGCAAACGATCCACATTCTCTTTATATTTCATCGTTAAGAAGTTTCACTTCAGCAGTTTCTTCCTGTGAACCACTGCCCTGTGGACTCCCAACAGGATATTCCTTCACCTTGATCACTAAAATCTTAACTTTTTTAAGGCAATGGTTTACCGTTATCATATACACGCAAATGGCCTCCAAACATAACCCTCTACGTTGAGTGGCCCTTGTGAAGAGTGAACCTCACTTCAAAAAAAAAAAAAAAAATGAGAGGAGTACTTTTGCCATATTTGGATGGGAGCTGCTTGATCCTCACTCTTTCGTGTTTTGATGGAGTTCAAAAACATCTTCGAATCCTTGTCGAAGAATTATTTTACCACCTTCCGGCCTCTCTCACAGTCAGGATGTGGTGAGTCTCTGCTCTATCGTTACTACCATGAAATGTGCTCCATTTCTTGGATCTGCCAGCTCTAACCTTCCCAGTTTGGCTCCATCATGCCACTTACTTAGCAGCAAACCACTCACATTCTCCCCATATTTCATTCGCGAGAAGTTCCACTCAAACAGCTTTTTTGCACAAACCACTGCCCTGTGGAACAGACTCCCAAGAGGATGTTTCCCCAATCACTAGAATGTTAACTTGTTCAAGTCTAGAGTTAACCATTATCTTCCTCCCCATATAAACTACCCCTAAATTCTACCTTGAGTGGCCTCCAGACCTTGTAAAAAAAGAAAGAAAGAAATCTTAGTGTATTACAAATTTATTCTTAACTAACACATTTGATTAGTACTTAGTTTGATACATACATTAAAATTGGTTCCCCAAAATGAAAATTATTCAAGATTAAGTAATTTCAATTGAAGTTAATTATTAATCCACTGAATAAAAACTCTATGGAATAAGTATTCTCTATAAAGATTATTAATCATATCAATATGAATTGCTAGTCAAAAAATTCAGAGAGTTTTTGCTCCAAAATAGCTTCTTCCCATAAAGAATGTAAGAAAATGAGTTCAGTAATCCTGGACATTTCTTTTTTCTGTCCTCAAAAAAAAGAAAGAAAGAGAAAGAGAAAGAAAGAAAGAAAGAAAGAACTTAGTCAAAAGGATGACTTTTCACTATTATTTTAACTACCTTCACTCCTCGGCAATGTTTAGCATTTTAAAAATGAAGATTAGAATTGTAATAAAATCTAAACATATGAAAGTGAATTTGTATGTTTTCTTTGTTCTTGAGAATTGAAAACAAAAATAACACTGTTTATTAGATTGTTTACACTATTTATTCTTTATTGTAATGTATAACAAAACAATGGCTAATTGCCAACTGATCAGAACTTTATAAAATATTAATAATAAGAATTTCCTTATGGATGGACCACATATTTTAATAGTTTAGTAAATGTTTAAAAATTTATGAAAAAAAAATTATTTTCCTATTTATTTCTTTATAAATCTGTAAATGATGACTATTGCATTGTATTAGTTTTTAGAATGGAAATATAAAATTATTCTTGCAAATAAACAATGTTTTTTTTTTTTTTTTTTTGTGGAGATGAAGGCCAGAGTTTGCCATGAGATTTTTTCTGACAGGTTTGTGAAAATTATATATGTATGTATGTATGTATGTAAAAATCTGGTTGTGGATTTCAGCTTTTCATGATAGGGCAATCTTAGTTTTTCTTATTTTCTTTTTTAATTTGGAATCGATCATGAGAGTCAAAAAAAAATTCCTCTATAAAAAAATAACCCATTTAAATGTATAAATAAGGAAAAGAATGGAAGGTGAATGTTACTTCTTTAAAATTCTTTTAAAGACTGAGCAGTTGTTTTCAAACAAATGTCCACATAAGTAGGCAAAAATCTTTCAAGAAAATACCAATCGGATAAAAATATTTAATGAAAACAATAAAGAATGTGAATTAACCTTAATAAAAGAAAGAGAAATTATAATGGAGTGTGAAATAGTTGAAAACTAAGCGCCATTACAGTGAAAAGAATATCATATTCTACATTGTGTTTTTGCAGGATGTATAATAATAACTGGTTGGAGATGATGAGAAAGTGTAAAAGCTATAAATAATACATTTAACCAAGAGGTGCTTTGCTTCCTCCTGCTAACATTGTGTGTGCAAGCAAATATACATTAAAGATAAATAAATTAATAAAAAGGGTTGTGTCTGTGTATATATATATATATCTATATATATATATATTTGGTTGGATAGATGTGAGTTTGTTAGCTCTATCTCTGATATTGGCGCTTTCTAATAAGTACCAGCATATAATATATAAATAATTATACATATATATATATATATTTATTTATATTTATATTCACTTTTCACATATATATATATATATATATATATATATATATATATATATATATATATATTTATTTTGTTTCAACCTTTGGAAGTAAAAGTCTGATGATCATGATCTTTTAAAAAGGGCTGTGGTGAAATAATTTATGACATGAAACCTTAAAGTGGTCTGTTTTTTATTTAAATTAAAATATATATATATATGTGTGTCTGTGTGTATATATATATATATATATATATATATATATATATATGCATGTTTCATTAAAAACGACAGACAAGGTACTACGGTTAAGCTTTTTATTTAAATTTTATTGTGTTTGAACAAGAGTTTTCTTTTCTGGACAAAGGGTGTGTAAGAACTGTCCAAATGTTTTATATTTCCGAGCGCTTTCGGCTATACCTTTAGCCATTATCAAGGATGATTTGATTTTTCAGCTTGAGTGTGTGCGTTCTGTGTATGTTTTAGTGTGTGGTAGGGATGTTTTTAATTTCCGAATACGGTTAGCACATTGTAGCTTTGTTCGTAGTTAATATTGTTAAGAGTTGGCTTTTTCTTTTTTATTATTAAAACTTCCATTATTTTTTGCAGGTGGATGCAGTTAATATATTTGTTTTCTACTAGTATGTTCCTAATGGAGTCGGGTAAATTTGTGTGTGTGTTTAAATGGGTTCTAATGAAGCTGTGATCAGATAGGTGTTACACACCCTTTGTCCAGAAAAGAAAACTTGTTAGAACACAAGAAAAATTAAATAAAAAGCTTAACCACAGTACCTTGTCTGTCATTTTTAATGAAACATGCATAAAGGTAGGATTGCTGCCTAAATATACAACTATATATATATATGTGTGTGTGTGTGTGTGTGTGTGTGTGTAGGATGTCTCATAGTATCTAAAACAAAAGTGAATATGATGAGACAAAGTGGGAAATGATTTCTTCAGATTATAAGGGCTCTTAAATAAAAGCCTATGATCACTCTCTGGAATTTGTTTTATTGTTGTGGTGGGTGTATGAGTTGAGAACAGTGATGGCCTTTTGTAATGCCAGTTTATAAGACGGATTTTGTAAATCACAAATACAATTAACAACTTTGAACTATACTTGGTCAGACACTGCTGATTCCCATATATTTTTCCTTTACCCAGGTCGACTGTGCTTGCTCTCTGTCGGTCAGTGTTCAAACCCAAGTGTTGGCAGCGACACTTTATTCCTATGTGACATTGATATACACTTATATTGAATTTTGTCCTTGTTTCAGTGTGAGGTACCCGACTCAACATTGATAAAAGTATTTTTTTTATATATATATATATATATATATATATATATATATATATATATATATATATATATATATATATATATATTTTAACTCTGTGGGTGAAAATACCTGGATAGCACAATTTTCAAATAATTTGGCATCTGAGGAAAAATAGAGAGAAAAAAAAGAAAGCACCAGGAACCTTTGAACAGGGCGAAAGACATACAGTACCTTAAATTTCTGGTACAAAACAAAAAAAAAAAAGAAACAGTGAATAAGTGCAAAGAGTGCTCAATACACTATGTAGAGCAAAAGTAAAATAAATAATTCCTAATGAGCCAGGTACTACCTACCTAGGTTTCACCACATGGGATCATCAGTGTGAAATGGATAAAGAGGAATTAATGAAGAACAAATTTATTGATAAAATTATGGCTAAAGCCTAAAATTAGCATAAGTTTAAGCAGATGTAAAACACGTAATTAAGAAAAAAAACCAAAAAAAAAAAACCTTTATTCTAATAGCCAGGCTTTCCTATGCCTGCATTTATTAAGGATTTCTGACCTCTGGTTTAATAAAATTTTGTGTTTGTTGAAGGTAGCTAACTTCTCCTCCATACATAATATACAAAACTTGTTGTCAGCATTATATTTACAACATTTTTTTAGTATTTGCCATCTTAAAATGGGATCCATTTTATCTTCCTGTTTAATAGTCCAAACGTATTTAGATAAGTTAGTGTTATAGTTATACTTCTCATTCTTAAAGCTACTTATGTGATTATAGTAGCACTTTTTAAAATTGCCTTCAGTAAATCCTATGTACACTTTACTTTTCTCGTTATTGGTGGTTGAATATATATAAGTGTGTGTGTGTGTGTGTATACAAAAATATAATAAAAAGTCCCTGAATTAAAATCCTACAATACCAAATGGCTCTAATACAGATATAGATAAAACAAACAAGCACAGAGACATACAGATTCTCTTCAAGTCTCAAGCCAGGATGTGATAAGTTACAGTAATTAATGTGATTTATGACAACCAACTTAACCTCAGAGATCCTAAGACACTCTCTTAACACATAGCTTTGTCTTTTCTTTATTCTCATCAAGATATACATTAATATATTTTCTGTTTATACATTATTTTCATAGATACAAGTATTTAAGTAAATGATCTGTTCATAATAAACAGTATTAACTACATTTACCACCCTAAATATACAAGAAATTTCATAGAAAAGGTGTGTCCTCTGACAGGAATCATGGACCCATCATATAGCCTCATGTGCTATACTATTTAGCTACAGAGGAAGCATCTGGTTAGAAAAAAAACAAAAAAAACAACAATTTTCCCATGATTTTTCTATGAAATATCTAGGACATTCCGGCTAGTAAATGTTGTTGATACTGTTTATTATAAACAGAGCATTTACTTAAATACTTGTATCTATAAAAATAAGGTATAAACAGAAAATATATTAAAATAATTGTTGGACTTAGTCTATATATATATATATATATATATATATATATATATATATATAATATATAAGTGAACATTGAAGTCAACACTCAGAGGTGACAGGCTGTTTCATGCTAGATGCAATCATCAGGCCACTATATATAAATTTATGCCCTGGTTCTTACATTTCACCATTCCTGGGAGAAATTCAATTATCAGTGTGGGATATCTAATAACAAAAGTGATGAACAGAAAAAGAGAAAGAATCTAAATGAAACTGGTTAGATTAAATAAAAAAAAAAAAAGAAATTAAAGATTCCCAGCATCCTTCATTCATGTGCATGTGCATGTGTAGTCACACCAACATGACAAATTTAATACAATGAAGTCGTAAAGGATATATTGTTATCTCATCTGCTCTATCGCTGCTACCATGGAAAGTGAACTACATTCTTTGGTTCTACCAGGACTAACCTTCACAGCTAGGATCCACCATGCCACTTACATAGTAGCAAAACACCTAGATTCCCCTAGGTGTTTCATCGGTAAGAAGTTCCACTCAAACAGCTTCTTCCCATGAACCACTGGCCTGTGGAACAGACTCCCAAAAAGATGTTTTCCCACCAGTCACTACAATCTTGATCTCTTCAAATCTAGAGTTAACCATTATCTTTTTCTCCTGACCATATAATCTAACTCTTAACTGTCTACCTTGAGTGGCCCTTGGGCCTTGCGAAAAAAAAAATCATATATATATAAATATATGTATGTATGTATGTGTGTGTGTGTGTGTGTGTGTATTATAGTTGTAATTTTGTGCATACGCATTGTTTTTGATTTTGTCGACTTCATAGCATCGACTTCATTAGCGTCAGTTGGGCACCATCTGTGAGAAAAAGATTACCATAACACAATTCACTGCCAGAAATTTGGAAGCGACATGATGTACTGCTTGGCATTTACACTGGAAGCTTCAATACAAACATTTCAGAATGTTTGCGTGCCAATCTGAGGATAGTGCAGATGATTCAGAAAGAGTTGGATGAGTCTAATGGTGATTACCAAGGTGTTTGAAGTGATCACTAGTGATGGTGACATTATACCTCCATTCATCTTCCTGCAGGGCCTCAGACTTAACATGGAGGCCCACATCATGCCTTGAGGAGGTAATGCTGCCCTGGGTTAAGAGGGTAGCTGCTGGAAGACCCTGTATCTGACAACAGGACTCTGCAACATGCCACCTAACTCCCCAGACTGCAACTTCCTTGATTATGTGTGGGGTGCAGTTGAGTGAGAGACCAACAAAACTCCTTGTAACACCAAAGATGAACTGAAAGCAAGGATTTTGACAGCATTCACCAACTTAAACAATGATTCCGTCCAAAAGAGTTGCAGTAAATTCTGAAGTCGTCTGGAGGCCGTGATTGAAGTCAATGATTATTTTATTGAATAAATTTACTCTTTAGTATTTCAAGATATTTTTGTGTAATTTTGTTAAATATATCTGTTAAAATGACATGTCAGTGTTATTTTCATTTTTGCATAATTTAGGCAATAATTTAACCATCGCACCATATATATAAAATAGACCCTCCCGCTGAATTTGACATATGAGGGTCAAGCAGATCAGTTCCTAGGAATCGAAAGCTTGACACCAGCATATGAGATTTGATTATAGTGGTGATGGTTTTGTGCAGAACTATTCACACTTTTTAAAGAACTGTTTACAGAAACCTGGTGCACTATGTGCCACAAGGTCCTCCACAGGTTTTGAATTCAGAGTTGTCCTTCTCCTAGACCAGTTGCCATCCAAGGCTATAGAACCCAGTCTATCCTGCTATTTATCCATGAAAAGACGAGGATTCATACCTTTCCCAAGTGTATTAGCATGTAAGTGAATGTAATGTATTTGACTGGAATTTGAACTCGGCTCTCTGATTCCTTGATCCAAGCTGCTATCCATTCCTCCACCGTATATAAAAGATAACTTCTGGTGGTGGTGGTGGTGGTGCCTGGTCATCAAATGTAATATGGTAATTTGATTTATCACACCCTTTTTATCCTCAGAAATCCTAATGCATTTTTCCTTAGATACAATTTTGTCTTCCATTCTTAACTGAAGGCGGCAAATGAAACAGACGGCCGTCAATGAAACATGTTGTTTATAGCTCTCCCAGTTTGTCTCATCATCTTTATATATTATCTAATATTATATTCTCATACAGAATATGAATTAGACTTAAAAAATGATTATCTCAGGGCTTAAAAACAAACGGCAAATAGTGGAAAAAAAACCCCAAAAAAAACGAAAAGAAAAGAAGACAAATAAATAAAGAGAAATTACTGAAAATTTGTTTAAATTTAATTAAATAGCTTTTTCAACATTATATTACTTAAATAATGAAATTAAGGGAGATGCGCGCACACATACACACACATACTACAGTACCAGTAATCAAAGATACTCCATAAGTAGGAATTTGTGCACCAGTTGAGATTATGAGTTTAGTAATTGTGGTCATGAGGTGAGATTAAAGGCAATGGTTACGGATCAATTGATTTTGTTGTGTGATGGATGATTTCATCACTGGGAGTGTGGATGATAAGAGTGGTGGCGGTGGAAGATGAAGTGGTGGAGCATGGAATGGATAAGAATTCATCAGCTGACTATTCTGACCACAAGAGTTATTAGTGCTATTCTTCATATAGCCACCACTGTTGCTGTCTCTTCGGGGCCTTTTGTTGGGAAATTCTTGGTTGATTCCTTCAGGAGTTTCCTGTCTAAAATTCCCGAGTGATGTATTGCATTTCCATTGATTTTCTGCTGCCATCTTATTGAATGTTCTTTTCTCAGGTGGACTGCTTAACTGATCAAAACATCTGTTCGAATTGATCCCTTGTTTGTTTTGCACTCGATCCATATTTGCCCCAGCCCAACACTGCTGTGAATCAACATTAAAGTTACTTTTGAAACCTGCCTCTCTCTCCCTGTTATTTCTCCCAAATTTTTGATCATTTGATTTCCAGCTTTTACTAAGCTCACCGAGACTTGCATTATTATCAAATCTGTTTTGGCTCATGCTTAGATCATTATTAACTCTACATTGATCCATATTTAAACCCCAATTTAATCTATTTTGATCCATGTTTAAACCCTTCTTAAATCTATTTTGATCAATGTCGACATTCATATCAAATCTATCCTTATCAGTATTTTGGCTCATATAAAATCTATTCTGATCCTTGTTTGGACAGTCATCAAATCTATTTTGATTCATATTAGGACCCTTATCAAATCTATTTTGATCCATGTGTGGAGTGTTACCAAATATACTCAAGTCAATTTTTGAACCTTTATCAAAAGCTTTTTGGTTCATAGTTGACCCACTACCAAATCTAAGTTGATCTGTTCTCGAGTCTCTGTTAAGCCTATTTTGATTTCCATTAGTGCCTTTGGGAAAATTTTCCTCTATGTTTGGATTATGAGGAAATGCACTGTTATTTATATATGTATCCTTATCTAAATTTAAACTCCCATTAGGCATTCTTTGATTCATAGCAGATGTATTTCTACAGTCCATATTAGAACCCCTATCAAATCTACTTTGGTCCATATTTGAACCCCTATCAAATCTTCCTTGGTCCATATTTGAACCCCTATCAAATCTACCCTGGTCCATATTTGAACCCCTTTCGAATCTTCCCTGGTCCATATTTGAACCCCTATCGAATCTTCCCTGGTCCATATTTGAACCCCTATCAAATCTTCCCTGGTCCATATTTGAACCCCTATCAAATCTTCCCTGGTCCATATTTGAACCCCTATCAAATCTTCCCTGGTCCATATTTTATCAAACCCTGATTCATATTTGAACCCCAAATCTTCCCTGGTCCATATTTGAACCCCTATCAAATCTTCCCTGGTCCATATTTGAACCTCTATCAAATCTTCCTTGGTCCATATTTGAATCTCTATCAAATCTTCCTTGGTCCATATTTGAACCTCTATCAAAATCTTCAAATCTACCTTGGTCCATATTTGAACCTCTATCAAATCTTCCCTGGTTCATATTTGAACCCCTATCAAATCTCCCTGTTTCATATTTGAAATCTCTTGATCAAATCAAATCTACTTTGGTCCATATTTGAACCCCTATCTAATCTTCCTAGGTCCATATTTGAACCCCTTTCAAATCTTCCTTGGTCCACATTTGAACCCCTTTCAAATCTTCCTTGGTCCATATTTGAACCCCTTTCAAATCTTCCTTGGTCCATATTTGAACCCCTTTCAAATCTTCCCTGTTTCATATCTGAACCCCTATCAAGTCTCTCTTGATCCATATTTGAAACCCTATCTAATCTTCCTAGGCCCATATTTGAACCCTTATCAAATCTTCTTTGGTCCATATTTGAATCCCCACCAAATCTCCCTTGATCCATATTGGAATCTCTCTGAAATCTTTCTCGATTCATGGTAGTATTATCAAAATTTGGACCTGATTCAAATTTTCTATAATCCACATTTAGATTACCAAATTTTCTTTCATTGATAACTGAATTTTGACTTAACTGATCTTGATCCACATTTGAATAGTTACTGAATCTGCCACAAGACATATTTGCATTAATACTGAATTTATCTTGACCTATATTTGGGCCTTGATTAAATCGCTCTTGGGCCATGTTTGAACCCATACTGACTCTATCCTGTTGCATATTATGATACTTATTTTGATCCCTATCAAAACTATCTTGACTCATGTTTGGTCTACCATTAAATCTGCTTTGATCCATGAAGGACCCTTTGTTATATGCTTCATGATCTGCAATTGAGATTCTTTGCTGTTCCTGGGTCATTCTTCTATCTTCTTTATTCCATCTGATATTCTCATGCTCACGTGATGAAAATAATCCCTTGTCTTCAATTCTTCCCCAATCGTTTATACTGGCTCGACTGAACATCCTCTCATTCGAGTTTCTACTGCTTCTAAAATTGTTATTGTTTGAAGTTTCAAGGTAGCTTAAATCTGACTCTTGGTAATTGCATTTCATTTTGTCTGTAGCTGATCCAGAATTAATTACAGAATGACCTCTGTTGTTTCTCTCAGAGCCACGTGTATCAAACCTGTGACCGATCAGTTGCTTATCAGACTCAGTTGAGGACCTTCCAAATGTTTGGCTCTCATCAACTCTTGTCCAAAATCTTTCACTTCCACTAGATCTTTTCTGGTCCTCTCTTCTCATACTGTTTTCGTCAAGAGCTTTCCTTTTTTCTTCTTGTCTGTCCCTTTCATAAGATCTCTCTTGGTCATTACTACCACAGTTGCTTTTAAAGCTTCTTTTATCCTCATTGTTCCTGACCCGCCTTTCACCAGACCTGCCATCACAGTGCTCTTGCTTGTGGTGACGTTCTTCACTTCTTCGGGTCTGCCTCTCACGCTTCCTGTGGTCAGAGCTGTAGTTGCCACGCTCCATCTGGAAATGTCTACTTTTATCTGCTCCAGACTCACGTTGATTGGAGCGTCTTTTGTCTGCATTACTGCTACTTCTTCTGGTTGAGTAGTCAGAACTTGACATCCTTGGCTGGCTATCTGGATTCCTAGCCTTATTCACAGTTTTACTGTCTGAAGATGTCATACCAAATGACTCGTTTGTAGCACATGATGTTGAGGTATGGTGCCTATGAAAGTAGGAAAAGAAAAAAACGTTTTTAACATTAATATTTTTGACAACAATAGTTATGTTTTTCATGAAATTTTCACGATTTAATAAAAGAAAGTACACATTTGGCTAAAATTCTGGGATGAGGAGCTATCATTATTTACAATCAAACTATTATCCTTATCATTGGTGATATTACCACAATATTTCAGCCATTGAGTGCCCTGGACATATATGAATATATATGTCGATATGAGTGATCTCCAGGGAATTTTGAACTGAACTCTTTATTTAATGTATGGGGATAGATTGTTCTAATTCCACTGTCCCTATTTGTTTTCTTTTTATTTAGTATTGCTCAATTATTGTATGCCATGACCAGAGATTGAACTCACAATTACTATGTCATCATATTCATGAACCAATGATTTAACCCTTTAGAATTCAACATGCCCAAATCTGCCACATAAATATTGGCTCTCAATGTCCAACCTGCCTGTGTAAATTTGGCTCTTAATGCCCAACCTGCCTCTGTAAATATTGGCTCTTAATATTCAACCTGCGGTAACCTGCCCTATGTATAATCTGCAATAATATATGATGACATCATCACAAATAACACAGGAAATCATGCAAAGAGTAAGACTTTGGGAGTCAGTATTTACAGAGAGGGTTTGAATGTTTTGAATGCTAAAGGATTAATTCAGGAGACTGTAAGGAGGCTGGATGTGTGCGTGGTGTAATGGATAATGGCTTGGAATGAGAAATTGGATAATTGAGTTCGAATTCCAGTCAGGTTTATTGCATTCAGACATGCTAGCTCAAGTGCATATCTCGTATGGCACTTAACAGATAAGGAGGCCAGAGGGCACAAAGGCCAAATGACTATGATAATAACAACAAGGATGAGGACAATAGTCCAATTATATATATATATATATATATATATATATATATGAATAAAACAGAGGATGTCTGTGTGATACCTTTTCACTTGAGATCCATCCAACTGATTTTGACCAAACTTGGCATGTACATTGTACAATGTAAGAGATAGATTCTTAACATAAAAAAATTGATAATTTTTAAAAAATCAGAAATCGACAAATTCAACTTTTTTCCACCAATTTTGTTCAAACTTGGTATGTAGGTTACTTACATCATGACAAACTCAACAATAACTCATTTTTATTTCTACACCACTGCATTCCGTGAAAAACCGCAAAAAGAGAAAAATCGATTTTAACACAAATTTTCAACTAAAAAATCCCTCAATTTCTAAGCAATCTAATACAAACTTACTCAATTCACTCAATTGTAGCCAACAATAAATTGATAGTTTAACAGTCATTTAACTTGATAATTGAGTCCATCCATATAGTGAAAACCTGCATAAATAGAAAAAAATTAATTTTTGTTGATCTTTCAACCAAATTTCATTAAACTTAACAATTGCTTTATAAATGTATCCTCTTATGCATCCCTGGTAGCACACTGACAAATTGAATTTCTTAAACTCCAAAATAATTGTGGTATGAAGTGGTTCTTTATGTTGCCTGTTTTACACCTTCATGTCCTCAGCTAACTTTGAATACTACTTCTGTTATATCAGTAACTGCATTAATTCAAAATGTTTTTTAATGAAAGTACTTTAAAGTAATTAATTAATTAGTTACATCTAAACATGATGTTGTTTTTGCTCCATTCTAATTGAATGCTTTTTCTGATTGATCAGCTGGGTATTTTCCCTTTTGTTCATTTAAAAAAGTAAAATTGGAAAGAGGACAAAAAAAATTCATAATTTTGATCAGGAATAAACAAACATTAAGTTTAAAAGTAAAAAAAACAAACCACCTGACTGTGCTATCAAACGATAGTGAATATAAATAGCTGGCTCATTGTATGTTGACCTGGTAATTGCGAGTTCAATCCCTAGGTCAGGCAGTGAAATCCATATACTTTGGTTTAAATTATATTTACAAATTATGTAACACAAGATATTCACTATAACCAACAGTTGAATGAGACCTACATGGACAGAATAAAATTTGGTTCAAATTGAAGGAGGTTGGAGGTTAAAACAGCTATAAATATTCCAAATATAACAACTAACAAGAAACGTGTTAGCATGAATCGGAGTTTAATAATGAAAATTATTGATTTTAGAAATTATTGTAAGGAAGTAAATACAATTAAATTGATAAAATACTCAAAAAACTTGTTTTCTTACTTGTCCTTGTTTGAAAGGTTGGCAGGAAATTTTTCAGATCCATCAGCCCGGGTAGTGTTTCGATCTGATTTGACATCCGATTGTTTATCTGAACGGCTGCTGCTTTCTTTCTGCGATACAGGCCCCTCATTTTTGGTTCTGCCAGTATCATTTCTAGATGATGTTGATGCTGTGACAGTAGCAGTAGGACTGCTGGTCAGAGTTTCTTTCTTGGTTTGTTCAGTTTGTTTTTTAAAACAAACATCCTGGTTATTATCTTTTCTCTGTCGACTATGACTGCTACGTCCAAATTCTACAGGAAGCTGGTAAAGAGGAAATTTTAATAAATATCCAAATGAATTGAGATAAATCAACAACAGCATCACAATCAATTATAACAAGTGTAGAATGTATTCTGTAGAATTGTATTCCAAAATGAGTATGTTAGGTTAATTCTGATTGGACAATTTTAAAAATGAAGCGGTAAAACAAATGAATAAATAAATAATGTTCAAATTAAAAAAAAATTCTGAAGATAAAAGCTTGAGCTCATAAAAATTCCTGTTGACATCTCCATTTGCATTATTACTAAATCAATTTTGATCCACATTTGTTCCCAGCTCAAATGGTGTGTGTTGAGATCATTAATATCTCTACACTGATCCATATTTGAACTTCAATCTATTTTGATCTCTGTTGACATTCTTATTAAATCTATTCTTATTAATATATTGATCCATATAAAGTTCCTGTGGGGTAAATTGACTAATAACAATTATGGTCAATTCATATAGTGCTATTGAAATGAGCTGCTACACTTGGTATATTAAGGATCATTCTTCTGTTGCCATTTACAAGAGAAATAGGATTTTAAAAAAAAATTTTTTTTTTTTAGATTATACACTTGAAATGAGCATTAAGTAAAATATGAACCTATTTTTTTGTTATTTTTAATAAAGAAATTTATTTTTTAATGAAATAAATTGACATATAAAAAATAATTCAATAAAACACTTGTTTTTATTATATTTTAGTAAAGTAAATTGTAATGTAATTTATTTTTTAACAAAGTAAATCAAATTTCCAAAATATTTTTATAAAAAATAATTTAATAATTTATGATTAACTTTATGAAAAATAATTAAAAACAAAAAGCTGATTCATATTTTACATAATGCCCTTTGAAATGCTGTCTTTGAAGAAAAATGTTCACTAATTAAGGTTTTAATCCTTAATAATTACTTATATTCAGTTATAAAAAAAAGTTATGTTTTTCTGGTACTGAGTTGTCCTAGTATCAGTTAGTAGTGTTAAGTTGTCCCTTCCATCATCAGATCTAGACTTACATACAGATGTCATACATGAAGTTCAACTCATACAGAAATGTCTAAACTATCAGCTGTATACAACCATTTTCTCAGATCAATAATTAAAAATGGATTCAAATGAATGAACCTTGTGGGTCTTAGATTCAGATCTTACCCACACCCATGTGTCATTTTGTGCTGAATTGGGTAGTTTTAATATTTGTTTTTGTGTTTATTTTGTGTCTTTTATAAGTTGTTATGTAATGTTGGGGATGTAATTTGGTTTTAGTTGCATTTATTCAGTTTCCTTTTTATATTTTAGGGTAGAGTTTTGCTACTTTTAAGAATGTTAAAATTGCAAGGACTATACTTCAGATATCATAGACTGGCACTATACAATCACAAAGAAATTTACCAAATAACAAAAACCACATCACTTTCAACAGCAGCAACAACTAAAACGTGTACATGTCACTTGAATAGAAAATAATGACATAAGGCATTTATTTTCCACAAATCTTCAAACAAAAAGTTAGGAAGGAAACTCCAATCAATAATAGAGAGAATGATAGCAGTAAACTTGAGAAACTCATTTGCCTGCAAAACAAAATTTTAAGAGAAAGATTTGATAAATTTTAGCCAACAGTCATTCTGTCTAGTTAATGAATTCTAAATTTTTCCTTATAATTTGTTTGGTTGATTCATTTTTTACGGCTTATCAATCCTTTTGCAGATTATTTAAGGCCAAAAGATATTTTTAGATTGTAAGAATTTTTTTGAGATAATCATGTTTTCATGATAAAAATTTTACTAATTAAGCCATAGTTGTGGGGAGAAGAGGGTTATTTGTGCCTAAATGAATATATATAACAAAACCAACAGGAATTCTAACTTGCCCATCTGATTAACTGAGTGAGCCATTATACATTACACCACTCACACAGCCAAGATTACAGCATCTGATATTCTCAAGCTTCGCCCATCTAAGTACTGACCAGGCTTGATGTTGTTTAACTTTTATGATTTTATGGGCATTATTGTTCTATATACTTATGTATTACCCAGCACAGGAATTGAACTCACAACCACTAGCTAACAGAAGCCAATGCATTGTCGTTGTTGGATTGGCCTGTCTAACCTGTTGTTTGTAATGAATTCTACTATGGAGTTCAATATAAGCGCATGGCATTTTTTCCACAGAGAGTACATTTGCCAGGTAAATCCCTGACAGACCACTTCAACAATGGGAACCAATGTTTCAACATGATGTGCTTGTAAATCCATTGCCTGATCCACACATCCAAGCTTATAGCACCTGGGATTCCAAAGCAGTCACCCAGCTAAGTACTGATCAGGCTCGATGTTTCCTTATAAAGAAACAACTAGTCTCAGCATTACCATTTGTCTGAACAATATTTGTTATGTTAATGACTAATTAAATTCATTCCCGTATTTACTTGAGTATAATATGAGAAATTTTGAATGAAAATTGAAAGCAAAAAATGTGGAGTCATATTATACACAAATACACATTTTCAGGAGGCATGGTGGAATAGTGTATAGCAGCTCGGATTGAGGAATCAAAAAGCAGGACAGATCGGGTTCTATAGCCTTGTATGGCAACTGGTCTACCACAGAAAGAAATGGTAACCTACTGCAGGGAAAAAAATCTGCCATGTCAGACATGTATCGAAAGATACATGAACACCTAAGGGTGTATCACATATGACAAATAACTGATTGACAGACACATTTTAAGAATATTTTGCTCAGCTTAGAAAAAAACCTCTTATTTAAAACAAAGCTTGCAAATCTACTCAGTTATCACCATAGATAATAAAACACAAAGTAGGCAGGTATTGAAAACAATTGTTTACAAAAGCTATTTGATATGTTGGCAAATTTTGTTCCTTTGGAATCAATGTAACTGAATGTCATTTGTCTCAAAGACAGGAAATTCAACGAAATTGATTTTAACAAAAATTAACAAAGGGAATACACAACATCTCTCAGGTTTTGATAACATTAATGTTACAACAAAGCACCTGTCCTCAAAAATTTGAAAATAAGTTTTGAAATGGAAATTACAACATTCATTATATTTCTATTCTTTAATATCTTGGATAATTAAATATTTTAGTGAAATATATTGAGTACCCAAAAAAGTTGTTGCCAATTTTTGTTAACTTATTTCTGGCCCAGCTGTTTAGTTACTAACAAGCATAAGTATACAGGAAGCAACTTGTATTGACAAGTACATTGTTGAATGATTTAGTTATTTTATTACATAACTAATATCATTTTATTTCTCATTTCAGAGCCCTTGAAATGACTGATAAAAAATTGGTAATTCGTGCTTGTCTGTTGTATGAGTTTAAACTTGGTACAAGTGCATCATGTGCTTCTCGTAAGCTATGTACGGCCTTTGGCAAAGGTGCAGTAAGTGAACGATCTGCACGTAATTGGTTTCAGAAGTTTCGTTGTGGCAATGAAACCCTCGAAGATGAACCTCGAGCTGGATGACCAATATCACTAAACAATGAGGATTTAAAGGCAGCTATAGAATCAGATTCAGGTTTAACATGTCATGAACTAGCTTTGAGGTTTAATGTAAGCAATGAAACTATAAGACTGCATTTGCACCAGCTGGGGAAGAAATGGAAATTAAGCAAATGGGTACCATATGACTTAACACCAGCAAACAAACTGCAGAAGCTTACCATATGCTCTTCTCATTGCAGTAGACTAACAAAAGAACCCATTTTTGATCAAATTATGACATGATGAAAAGTGGATCATGTATACAAACTCTTAAGAGGAAACATCATTGGTTATTGGCGGGTGATCCTTTGCCACAAACTTCAAAGGCACCACTATTCCAAAAAAACTTTTGCTGTGTGTTTGGTGGACATGTCAAAGAATAATTCACTATGAGTTTTTATAAATGGGTGAAACCATTACTGCTAACAAATATTGCGAGCAACTTGACCGAGTTCAGGAAAATTTGTTGAAGAAACAGCCTGCATTAGTAAACAGAAAACAAGTTTTGCTTCTCCAGGACAATGCTCGCCCACATGTTGCAAAAATGACCCTTGCCAAGATAACAGAGCTAAAGTGGGAGATTATGCTTCATCCACTGTATTCACTAGATTTCCAACAGATTTTCACTTGTTTTTAGGCTTAGATAATCATATGAAGAACAGGACATTTAATAATGAAGATGACTTGAAAATGGAAATGCATAACTTTTTCCAAAGTAAAACTAAGAACTTTTACAAAAATGGCATTACTCAGTTGTTGAACCGTTGGGAGAAGGTCATAGAATGTGATGGGTCATATTTTGATAAATAAATACATTTAATACTTTAAATATGCATCTTTAATCTCCTTTATTAAAATCGGCAAAAACTTTTTTGGGCACCTGATATGTATGACATTGAGATTTTAATGGATAATATGGTACAACTTTTAAAAACAAAAGAAAAAAGAGGGATGACTGTACAACGGGGTCATATTATACTCAAGGATGTAATTTATTTATTGTTTTTAGTGTCAGAAATACGGGGTCAAATTATACACAAAAAATATGGTATCTACTTACTCCATACAAATCAGAGAGTATTTCCTTGCCTGAAAAGAGCAAGTCATTATTGTCTACAGGTGACTTCTTTTTCGCTGTTTTATCAGCATCCGAGTTACTGGAGCGGTCTGATGATGAGTGCCCTTTTTCATGACGGATATGGGAATTATAATAACCTCCTCCTTAAGGTGAGAAAAAAAAAAAAATGCAGTCATACAGATGTAAACAATGTTAGGATGGCTGAGTGGTCTAAAGCACCAAGTTCAAGGTTGTAGTATGCCTTAACAGGATAATGAGTGTTCAGGTCCACAAATGTGGGTGTTGGTTTGAATCCCACTCCGGATAAATCTGTCTTAGTTAATCTATCCCTCAAATTTTAGTGAATGCAAAATTGATTTTCTTACATTATTTACTTAAAGGTTTCTATGGCTAATATTTTAAGACTACAAATATTTAAATTCAACAAACCGTTCTGTGGATTCATTTAAGAAATATTTATGGAAACTAATATTTACAAAATTCTTTATTCCTGTCATAGAGATTGTTTACCTGAATTTTTACATCAAGGGGAAATTAAATTATTAAGGACTACAGGCATTATTCGTCTGTGACCTTTTCTAGGAAAGATGTTCAAAGCATGAATCAATAAGGGAGACTATATTTAAGCATTTATAGAAACACAGATATTCAATTTCTTTTTTATAGCTTTACTGGAAGTGTTAGCAGACAGATTGACTGAAAAAAAAAAAAAATCATTTTATTTAGTGAACTGTGATTGACTTGCTGACAATGGTAAGAGTACACACACAGAAACTGTTATCGGGAATTACATTGAAGTATGTGACTTGCATGTTCATGGTGAACTTGTGCGATTATGGCCTGTAACTTTTGGAAATGCCAGGATTCTTGGCAGTGTTATCATGGTTAGGTATCAGGATGGTCTAAGACATCAGACTCAAGGTTGTAGCATACCTTACCAGGACAATAAGTGTTTCTTGTCCATGAATGTGGGTGTGGGCTCAAATTCCACTCATGACACCTGTATTTGGACACTTTGATGTCGTGTAACGGTTAGCAAGCTTGTCTTGCTAGAACAATTTACGACTGAATAGTGTGTTTGAGTCCCATTCCTTCAACCTTGCACCACATCTAAAATTGTACCACTATCAGAATTGACTTATACAGGCTTATTAATACTAAAGGATATTAAGAAAAATAATAAATAATTTTAAGACAAACTAATTTCTTCAATATAGCTTCTATTATTTACAATTACGACCTTAACATGACCTTGAAAAGCTAGATGATTCTTAAGCAATTCTTTGAACATCTTAGATATCTCTTCCTTGATGGCAGCCTTAAGTGTACCAATATCTATGTGGGAGGTCTTCTTAATGGTCTATCTGAAAATGCCCCACACAGCATACTCTAGCAGGTTCTGGTCCAAGGTGGAAAAAGGCCAGAAGTCTACTGGCTAGAAATCAGCAAAGGTAACTTCGCAGAACTTCTGAACTTTCTTCGGGGGTTAACTGGAAGCACTGTCCTGGGTCTTCACCAAGCTATAGCAAAATATGTTATCTCAGGATCTTGTAGGCATTGGCAGTCACTTTCCTTCAAATATTTTAAAAAAAAAATGGTAGTATTTTTGGTGGCCATAATACATATGATCATGATATGAGTCGGATGTATGATCCTGAGTGAGGTTTTGAAATCAACTGTTGGTTCCACAAGGTACTGATCATTTTGGCAGTTCAAAACAGTATCCATGATGAAGATTTCTCAATAGAGAGTGGATCACTAATACTCGAGATGCCCAAGCACTTTTCTGTACTGTTCCACCTTCCTGGTTTTCATGGATTCTATGAGGAGGAGCTTTGGTTAACAGGTGTATGATATGAAACCCAGTTCATCATGTACAATTGTTCTGATGGTCTTGGGGCCTTCTTTTAACTTAGCAGCTATCTTGTGTATATCAATTTTTGGGTCCTTTGCGATTTTGGACACCACCAGTCCTCATGACTAAGTTGGTGTAACGCCGTTCCTATCTCTAGGTCACACTACACTGCTTCAACTGAAGCCAGGTGCCTGGAGATGTGTTCACTTGGTAGCACATCTCCATTGTACTAAAGAGACACAGGCACACACTGATATCTGTGATAATAGATAAAAGCATCTGGCAATTTTTGTCTGTCACATGACCAGAAATTGTGTATTAGCACTCACTCTAAAATGTCCATGTGTCATATTTGCTCTCATGGAAGTGATAAAAACTAAACCTAATTATAATAACAAAGTAATTAACAATTTTACAAATTTTGATAATTCTTGGATTTCATTTTTGAAATGAGTAATTTTCAATATACTTTTATAGACATTATTATAGATGTTAAGTTTCAGCTAAGTAGCCTCTGGTCATCATCAGGTGTCCATTGTTTTGGTTGACATGGGAATATCTCTTGATTATTGTGTTACTTTGTTCCAATGATGCCAGTTATTGTCTGTTCCTGCTGAGCCAGTATTCACACCAGATTCCTAATTATTTCTCATTTCAAAAGTGAAATACAAAATTATTGAAATTATGAACAGTGGTACTATCGTGTCATGAGAAGCAAATATCAAAACCACCTGACATTGACATTGTTTAGAGACTTTTATAAGTCTCCAAACACATACCACAGATGTCCTTTGGGATGGTGGTATATCAGGTAATTTGTTATTCACGTGCTACTGTCAATCTCTGGATCATATAGTCACACAGGGGCTTAGCAGGAATTAAAAATAACTGACATCTCAGGATCAAAATAACACAATAATAAACAAATATCCCATGTCTGTCAAAACAATGGACATCTGATGATGATCAGAAGGTACTTGGCTGAAACATTGTTTCTATAATAACTGAGATGAAATCAATAATATGAACTAATTAATGTATGTAAATTTTGAAAATATTCAGTTTTAATTGTGATTATTTTTTTATCTTCTTTTTTTAATGCAATCCAACTTTTCAAGAATATTTCTTGTTTGGCAAATTAACACTATAGTGCTGATGATAAACAAAATCTGGTTGAATTTAATTTTGACATGTTGAAGAAAAAAGATGGTTTTGTTTCTTTGTATCTATGCTGATGACAACTATTTATTCCTGTTTTAATGCTAAATCTGACCAGTTCGATAAGGCTAAACTGGCTGCTGACTGACCTAAATCTGTTAAATGGAGCAAGAAACGGTTTGTTAATTTTAGCACCTCCAAAATCATCTGGGAGAACCTTTTTTACCTCTCCTCAGCATGGCTGATGCTATCTTCCAGGAGAATAACTTACTGGATCTTCCCAGGCAAAAAAAAAAAAAAAAATTATACTGCACCAAGTGCTAGGTCTGCTGCTGGTAATATTGATTCATGGTGTTGTGCTAGACAGTTTTTCTTGCCAGAATCTATTTTACACATTCATAAGTCTACTATTCGTCTATGCATTGAATATTACTGCTATATCTAGTCTGGTACTTCTATTATGTATTTAGAGATTCTTGATAAAATCCAAAGTAGAATCTGCAATGTTATCAGTCCAGACCTGGCATCTTTACTTCAGTCCCTTTCCCACTTCCATAATGTAACTTTCCTCTCTGGTACCTCAACTTCAGAATTTAAGTGCAGTACTAGATTGGCAGCTATGTATCATTTTTTTATTGTTGAAATTGTTAGATATAACCGTAAGTTCTATGCTAACAGTTTCTTCTCTCTCGTACTTCTTGTGCAACTCTCTTGCTTCCCAATCAACTTTGATCTTCAAAAATTTAAAGGCAATGTCAACTGTTATAATCCGTCTTCTTAATTGTTGTCCTTTTATTATTCTACTTAAGTTTTTTTTTTCTAATATTCTTTCACATTAAATAACCCTTGCATCTTAGTGGTTTTATTGCCTTGATTGAAGTGAAAAGAAAAAGAAAATGTATATATATATATATATATATATATATACTGACAGGCACACACACATGCTAAGATTTTTACATGTTGACTTACCAGGTCTGTGGCATTCTTTGGCCAGTCTGACACTCAGTTGGTGTCGATCAATACGAAGAGTTTTGGATTTAGTCAGTTCCAGTTCCGCATCCTTTGCAGTACGATACTCAGCAAGTGCAGAGCTAAAGTAATAAAACATCAGTGTTTAGTATACATAAACATTTACATGGGTCATTTCACATTGGATATCATGAAATTACAAACTAGAGCCTTGATACGACAGCACTGGCAAATACCATGCATTAGAATATTCTAGCAGATTAAGCTAATATGCAGTTGTTGTCATTTTCACTCTGCTCTGTCAACATAAAGCAAATTCTAAGACCCAACATATCTTATCCATCTTTAAAGCTATTCTAATCGGGCATGTTGGTCATTATAGAAAATTAATTGCTTTGTAGGAATAAAAATGGAAACATTTCTCCTTGAACTTTTTTCACAAAATAACATTTTTTTTTATTTTTGCCACAAAAAGGTTTTGATTTGTTTTTTACAGCTTATCAACCCTTTAGAGATTATTTAAAAGATATAGGATATCAAAACATATTGGATAAAGACAATAAGCTATATTCCTGAATAAAATATTTTACATGTTAATAAGAGCTTCTTGACATTCCTACACTTCATTGGTATTTATTGATTATATTTGATTGTGTTTTGGAAAGTCTCTGACTTATATGAGTTTTTCTATCTTAATGGAAATTCAAAATGAAAATAACAACTTGGGATGTGTCTCATGTTGTTTCAACATTACAATGGGTAATGCAAATACAGGTAAACACACATGCTTGTAAGAACAGTTCTCGAAGCTGTTTAAAATACAGAATTGTGCTTCCAATTCTATAGTGTCATCTTTCCTTTCAACCAGTTTTGTCTCTACCTTGCTACAAAGAAAATCAAATCTTGTTTGATTGTTTACATTCAATTAATGTCCTTTATTTTGATTGACAAGCATAAACAAAAATTAAAAACATGAAAAATTTTGCTATTTTAGTAAACATGTACCAAAATACTTTGAAAATATTAATAAACAGTAGATCTCAAAACATCTTGGATTTTAGTTCCACCTAAGTGAAAACATTCGCGAGTATAATAAATCTGACATTGTGTAAAATTATGAGGGTTGATTAATAAGTGTTTAGTTGAATTCTGATCTGAAAGTTTCATTGTATAATGTTTGATGTAATGAGAAGTGCTGGATTAAATTCACTGAAAAGGAAGATTAGGTTGAAAAATAAATATATTTTTTTATGTATTTGCCAAGTATTCAATGAAAATTGAAAGATCAATTAGATGATTATCAATATTAACTGCATTAAGTACTTTGGTGATGTGCATTTCACAATTGAAATCCATACTATTGAGATAAGTAACATATTCAAGGGAACTAAACCATTCCTATATATAGGTTATTCCAATAACTTGGACTGATTTTAAATATGAATTAAGTTTAAGTGTCTAATGATTTTTTTTTCTTTTTCTTTCAGATTTAACAATTTAAGTCTTTGGCAATTTCAACCATGGAAAGACTAACAATCAAACAATGTGTTAAAGTTGTCGAAGCCTATTACGAAAATGGACATAATAGGGTTTGATAACTGGAACACCATATATATATATATATATATATATATATATATATATATATATATATATCTATCTCCCTCTCTATAGCTTTCTTTTACTCTAACATTTGTCCCACACTCTTCTAAATTTTATTTTTTATTCCTGGTGTCGTTTTTTCTGTTTTCTTTTTGAATTTGTAGGTCTGGTGAATTGGATCATATTTACGATTCCAATGGAATAAATTATGACCATGGAATATTAGTGTTTAAGCCTTTTTATTATATCCTTACTCTGTCCTGGACATTGAGTTCTACCTGGATTCTATCCTCTTGGAATTATTTTTTATACATATATTTATGTATGTGTATGTATGTATATATATTTATATATTTTAGATATATGATTATATATGTATATATATATATATACTATATATATATATATATATATATATATATATATATATATATATATATATATGTGTGTGTGTGTGTGTGTGTGTGTGTGTGTCTATATACGGCTTGTGAATATCTCACTCTCTCTCTGTTGTGGTACGATCCACCTAATTTACATAGTGGAGTACCGACCATATAAATATGGGTTGGTACCGGGAAGGCGATGGAGGAAGTAAGAAGAGATCCAATCCAGAGACTCTGCCCGACTGCGATTAAGTCAACCCATTCTACAGGAACAGTCTTCCCAAGAATATACCAAAACTAACTGTAAATATTGTGTACCTTTTCCTTGTTTCAATACATTTTGTTTACGTACATTTTGTGTTGTATTATTATTATTCCATGCTTATCCAAGCTTCAACACTCTCACACACACATTATTAATAACTATAGGATACAAGCAGATTTTGAAATTAAATTTTAAGGTAAAAAAAAAAAAAAAAAGAAAAAAAAGCATGTCTTATACACTGAAAAATACAGTGTTTTTTATGTAAAATAAATGCATTCTTAATTATTAGACTGCAGACGTACTGACTGTAGAAGTGAACCAGAGCAATACTAAAAATGACCTTTAGGGTGTATCTGGAGGGGTAAAAGATTTAGTTCTGCTGGATAACTGGGTGTCTGGAGAAGGCAGTCTCTCAACATAGATAATGCCCCTGCTGGATTTGGATGCTTTGTCATCAACAAATCATAGCCAGATTTTGGCTGTGGCCACAGATATAGAAGGCTGACCCTTTTTTGTAACAGGAGGTCAGTTGGTGTTAACAAAATTGCTTGGATTTGTGACTGCTCATTTTTTTTCTTTACACAAGGGTTTGTTATATTATAAAACAAAATAGCAACACCTATTGATATATGTGAAATTATATAATTTAATGTATGCCAAGGCAAACAGAATCTTTTGTTAATAAAGTGATCAATAGATATCTAAAGCAATAATTATTGTATCAAAAATACTAAAGGTTCAGGATACTTATCAAAGAGTGACTCAGGGTATATACATTTATTAAATATGAAAATAAGGGGATTATGTTATTGACCGTTGCATAAAATAGAACATGAATAAAAAGCCGAAAAGGGATAACTTACCAACCATCCAAGCGTTTTATGCATTTGGCAAATGGGAAAAGAACATCCAAGTATTCAGTGGTTGTTGAACGAGGTAAGTTTTCAATGTAAAGCTGTCGACATTCCAGGGGATCTGAAATATCAAAATTTTTTTCATTAACTGGAATGTTAATCTATTTTTTTATTTACGTATTTTTTTTTCAATCCTTATCTAAAATAAGTACTTTAATATTTGTTTCTGGTTTTAAAATCGCTATTTTAATATGAAGAAGTTCTTTTATCTTAGCCAAAAGGCCAAGAAGCTTTTAATATTATATTCTTATATTAAAATAGGTTTTTAATATTGTGTTATTATAAGTGACCTACCTTCATTGGATGGTTCTCCACTTTTAACTGAGCAGCCCTCAATTCCAAGAAATTTGTTTTCTATCATGAGGGTTTTATCTCTTCGAATATAATTCTCAACATCACGAACGGAACCAAATTCAACAGTTGCTGTTGTGGCACTAAAATAACAAAATGGAAAAAAATAGAATGGTTTATAATTCAATTCTTTTTTTTCAAAGACAATGTCAAATATCTTCATTCAATATTTGCACACTATTTTATCATTTACATGATCAAATAGAGACAAAAAAAATTTATTTTCATCACATTCAACAAAATTTTACAGAACTTGGAAACAGAAAGTGAAATTTTAGTAACTTCTTATAACGTTGCTTGTCCTACTATTTATTAGTTTGCACAACCGTTACACCTTACCAATACTTCATAAATAATGGACTATTCTGTTTTGTCATGTGGAAAGAGAGAAAAAGACACAACTTGATTTCAGTTGAGAAAATGAAAGAAAGAAGGGAAATGGAAATGGAGTGAGAGAATCGGAGTAAGCTGATAAGAACAGATACTACACTTTGATCTCAGCTAAGACCGAGAACCTTTTAATATTATATTCTTATATTAAAATAGGTTTTGTTTTTTGCCCAACACCTACTCTCTTGCCACGCAGCTAGCAGAATGTGACACAAGGTCAGTTTAATGTGAGGATTCCATGCATGTATGTCCGGGCCAGATAAAAAATAACCCAGATCCCCGACTATTGGTTGTGCTGGCATTGCTATTACTACTGATCCCCGCAACTTAGTAAAATGAGGGAGGTACAGCCATGGACAGTTGTTTTCTCAAGGCTTGGGCACCTCTCAATCAGTTGCACTCTATGACAGAGACACAACTGAGAGATGAAATGTAATTCATCAGACTGAGAAGCCATGACAACTGCAATAAAAGCGCCATTTTTCAGACACAGTATAAAACGATGGAAACCGAGTAAGGCAATTACTAAAAACCCAGTCACCATAAATAAAATAACCTCGTTTGCTGAGAGAAATGTTTATAAGATGGGGATCTGGCAAGCACCAAATTAATGTCAATCAATAATTGATATTTTTATTGCATAAAGTTTGTGAAATGCAAGTAACAATCGCTCAGTTGCACTTCCAAAATATAGTCTGAATATGGTTTAGAAATCTCTTATTTGAAGTCCCATGTACCTTCAGGCTGTAGGTGATTATAGCACTCCACAGCTTCCTTTCCTCTTTAATATTTGTAAACTGTGCAGTGTCATGATTGTTCTTTGGAAAGATAGTTGTTTACTTAAGAGTTTGAAAATCAGAGTTACCCTTCTCCTAGATTGGTTGCAAAGGCATCTACCCAACTTTAGAATTACACATACACACACACACACACACATGCACAAGTACACAGAGGAAGTGCTGAAAATTTCTTGGCTCAACAAAATATCTGATTAAATGACAAAGTATCAGATATTTTTTGGGGAAATGGCTTCTTGGTCAGGCAAAAAAATTTTTTTAAAACCCTTTCATTTTTACACACATTCAGTTGATGCACATGTTTCCTGTATTTTTTTTATAATGAAATAATTTTATTCACATAAATTTACAGCATCCTCACCTAGTCATCAAATTATTTATTCTTATTTTTTATAGCATTCCATCAAGATGAATTACAAAATACAAAATCATCTGATGTTTGGACAAGGTCAATTGGTCAGATTTCAGAGGTAGGCTGACCCAAGAACTTTTCCTCACTCTTTATATATGTACCATTCTATTACAAATCAACTGACAGCCATAGGTGACCCACTCAGAAAAAACTGGGAAAATTCACAGGAGTTCCATGATGAAATCTATTCACAAATGTCAAAATATTATATCTGTATCTTTTAACAGGTTTAAAATCAGAGCATCTTGAAATGTCACTGCATTTTGAAAAGTAAATTGGAGCATCCTGTTTATAATCTAAAACATTATTTCTATACAGTAACCATATTCATAGAAATATCAGTATTATGGTTTGAAAATTACACAATTTTTTAACATCCTAAGAATTGCCTATTTTCAGGACATCAGCCATGTGGTTAATAATCAAGTCATTTTTAGTTAGTATTATTTTAGTAGTCATTAAAATACAATGAAATATGATTTCATAGATCTTGAAAATTTTTAACCAAAGATACATGAATACAACAGTTTTTTTAAAATTAATTTCTGAAAATGATAGATTGATTTGTTTTTTACAGTTTATCAACCACTAGCAGCATGGCCAGCGTTGCCCATGCTTGATTAAAAAATTATGCAACTCATACAGCAATCGCTATCACTTGACTTAAAATATTTTTGCCCTTCCTTGCCTTTAAAGGAGTGCCCTTTGCCGTGCTAATGTTGCTACATCTCACAATGCGAATTTTTTCTAAGCTCTATACTAAACATTAAATCTGCTATGAAAAAAGAACTAAACAAAATGAACACAAAACGATCAGCTTTAAAAAAGGACTCGTAACTGGAAAAACCGAATGAAAAAAGACTATTAACAACAAATACTTTTTCACACCCAACCCAGTTCTGCGGAATCAGAATCAACGTTGAGTTTAAGCAAGCGAATGAGCCAATTGGAGCAAAGTGCCATGCAGATTAAAATTTTTCCCACTTGTGACGAATGTAGCTATCAATTTTTTTTGCATGCTAGTTAACATTTGTGTCAGTCAGCTGTTGGCTCTCACACTGGCCAATAGAATCTTCCTGCCTATTTGTGGCAGCCAGCTATTGGCTCTCACTCTGGCCAATAGAATCTTCCTGCCTATTTGTGGCAGCCAGCTATTGGCTCTCACTCTGGCCAGTACAAAATGGCCACAAAATACATGAAAACTGCTGTAGAAGCATGAAAAAAATCGATTATTTCCACTATCGATGGGAGTTGGAAAATGCAAAGTCGGTCTTGGCCTTCCTGCTAACTTGGAGCATGTGCATGTAAATTTTGGTGCAAATCCGTCGAAAATTGCGTCCGTGCATTCGTTACACACACATCCTGCCTTTTATAGATAGAGACTTGCAGGTTATTTAAGGCTAGAAAATATATTTAGATTGTAAGAATTTTTAGGAGATAATAATGATTGATTAATTAACTTACTTAACATAGTTATTATTAATATAGCTGGGACTGGGGGAGAAGAGGTGGATTCATGCCTTTCCCAGGGATATTTGTGGATTAATCAATGTAAATAAACTGATTGGAACTGGAACTGAACTCTGATTTCTAATTCCAGGCTGTTATCCATTATACCACCCAGACATCCGCCGAGAATAAAGAATGAAATAAATTGTAAGACGTCTAATTATATGATGTAAAAAAATATATACCAATTTTCTAAATTTGGTTGGATACTCACAAAGGTTTCCGTTCTACATTGATGGATTCTGAGAAGATGAAGCCAAGGACATCATTTGAAATATTTTCGGGTAAGTTGGAGACTTTGATGGAGCGATCAGCTAAATTGAAAAAAGAAAAAACATAAAAAAGAATTATAACGTGAGAAGAGGTTGATAAATCTGTAGCCTGACATGGCTAAATTTTGATCTGAGATTTTCACTGTATGATTATTATGTGATTAATGGAGAAATGTGGAGTTGAAAAAGTAGGTGTTTATCTAAAAAACTATTTATTGTGTAAAAATAAAAATCTTTATGTTACAGATTTATTGGTGAACCTACACCAGCAAATTAAGTGAAGGATATTATGTTGAAAAATAAATATTTGTTGTGTAAAATGAATGAATTCATTCTATATTAGGTTATATACATATTGATGTATTCTGCATTCTTAATCATTGAAAATCTCCAAAACTCTTATGTAATGCACTTCATCCTGTGAACAGTTAGTCAATTTTGTTTGGTGTCATATCAACCATTACGGGTTATTTACTGCTGAAATCTAAATATTGAACAATTTTATGGCCTTAACTAAATATATTTTTAATGCAATTGCATGACTTCAACTAAAATGTACTGTTGGTCATTTTTTTTTAATATAAATATATATATATATATATATATATATATATATAAAAATATAAAAATGTATTGCTGGTAATTTACTGTAAAAATGTATTTTTATACTTTTGTTTTG